ATGTGGTGCTGGGGGATTGAACCGCGGTCCCCGATGCTTTGCCAAGCTTGTTCTAAGTAGGTGCTTTAGACCACTGAGCCATCTCTCCAGCCCCTTCATTGTTGTTTTTACCAAAGCTAATTATAATTATGGGAGTGAGAAACCCAGTTATACTGTATTAGCAAACAGAATTTTCTCTGCATTTTATTAGCTTGCAAAAGCAAAGATGGCAGGCTGGGGAGATGGCTCAGTGGAATAGGTGCTTCCCTGACAAGCGCAAGGGGCTGAGTTCAATCCCCAATTCCCACAAAACAAAAGCAAAGATGGCTATGAGTATTCCTTGGTCTACGTGTTCTTAGTTGAGATGCAAACTGTATTTTAGTATCCTGTCATCTAATTTATTTCCATATTGAACTGAAACACAACCATATGTTTTCATCATTGGTCAATCTTTCTTTTTACTGTGAAACTTACCCCATCCTTCACTTCCCACAGAGAGTGGGGAGACTGGAGAAAACCCCAGGGGATTCCCTGACTTTGTGCTAAACTCTGCAAATGAGGATTTTCTTCATCCACTGCTCCTTAGAGCAATATCCAGGAAAACAAGATGACCATTATTTTCGTTGTTTCTACCCTGAGAGCCCAATCACAAAGACAGACAAGCACACTTACCGTCAGGCCATAAAATGGAATATTGACGTACTGAAGCCATGAGAGCCGAGACCAAGTACTTCCAAAAAATACCACCATAAACCAATATATCTACAAAAAAGCAAAGACCATGTATCACAACAGGTTAAAAGATTTCTGCAACAATTCTAAGAAACTTCTTTAAGACACCAACAATATTGTATCTAATACTACACAAACAACATAAAATATACTTTAGAAAATAATGAAACAATAAGGTCCTATGCCATCCAGGTTGTACTGCAGGAGTTCCACTGAGCCTGGCTGCCTGTCTATACTCTGAAGACTGCCAAGAATACTTGGTAGCCCTAGACTCACCAATCAGCCTTCCCACCAGAGTTCTGTTGAGCCCATCTACCTGTCCTCACCCTGAAGATCACCAGGGAGATGTGACTACTGAAAGAAACTGCAGGAGCCTGGGGGAGCACAATCCTGCATCAACCTACCATCAAGAGAGCCTGGAAAAACTTCAGCTTGCACTCATCATCATCAGATCCTTCTTCAACTGTGACTTTTCCCCCTCTCCTCAATGAGGTACAAGTCACATTGATCTCCACACAGCAGGAGTTTGGTGAGCCTACTCTGCCCTCCACTCTCCTGAGAGCCTTGCAGACTCACACCCCACCCACCTACCTTCTCTGCAGAGTCAGGGAGAACACTGGGGGCTTCAAAAAATGGCCAAAAGAAGGAACAAAAGGCAATCTTGGACCACTAACCCACACAAAAGAAGTCCAGGAGACAAGGTCATAGAAGAACTTGGAAGTCACAAATCATGAATTTCTTTTCTTGTTTAAAAAATGTGTTTAAAAAATACAGGGCCTCACTACAAAAATCAGGCTCATAGTGATTGTCTTGTGTTCAGCCTCGCCAGCACTGGGATTATAGGCATGTGCCACCTGACTCATTGGCCAGCTCAGCTCATCCTTGGGCAGGGACCAGTGCAGCATGTGGTACCAGGGATCAAACTCTCGTCACTTCACATGCCTAAGCAGGTGCTTAGTCCACTGAGTTGCCTTAATAGCCTTTGAGCTATTTCGCTGGCCTTTCAAATTTCTGATGATGGAAACTGAAGTAAAAAATTAAAAATAAAACCCTTCCATAAGGCTATGGAGGAAATCAGATCAGAAATAGTTCTCAGGTAAAAAAGGAAATGGCAACAATCATGAAAGAATTGCTTGACACAGTTAAGGAAGAAATAGACAAAAAAAAAAATAGAAAGGAATAGGAAAATGAAAGAAACACTGAAAGAACAATACAGGAAAGTAGAATGCTTGAAACAGATTAAAACAGATATCCAGGATATTAAGAATTCTATTGAAAGCTGTCAAACCACTTGAACAAAACAGAAGATAGAATATCAGACCTTGAAGGTAGCATTGAAGATAGTGAACACAAAAGGAAAGATCTCTTTAAAATAATGAGAAACCAGGAAACAACAATATAACACCTGCAATATGATGCAAAAAAAGTAATATGAGTAATAGGTATCAAGTAAGCAGCTGGAGTTAACACAAAAGACATAAAAATATTGTTTGCAGAAGTAATAGTAGAAATTTTCCTAAGCATGGGAAAAGAATCTGACAAAGAAGTGAGGCATATAAAAAAAAATTCCAGTAGCCACAATCAAAATAAATCTTCATCCAGACATAATAATCAAGATCCAAGAAATTGAGCAAAAGAACAAACTGTTAAAAGTTGTTAAAAAGAGAAGAAATAGGGGTGCCTACCCCTTAGTTCACTCAGTTCTTTAAGTGGCTGCTTCAACAAAGCAGCCAGGCTCAGGTTGCTGTGGTTCAATCCCCACAACTCAAGCCAGCCAAACCTTCCCTGAAAGCATTCAGAGAAAGAGAGAGAGAGAGAGAGAGAGAGAGAGAGAGAGAGAGAGAGGAAGAAACAAATCACCTATAATGGAAAGTCCATCAGAATGATGGCAGATATCTCAAAACAGATCATTAAATCAAGAAGAGCTTCGCAATGGCCATGACTCATCCACATGGCTGACACTGACAAAGGATCTACAAACTGTGGTACAGGGTTTCAACATAAGTCCTGAGGGAATTAATTGTCCTTATCAGGTACAAAAGCTACATTTCTTGTTATATGGGTCTTAACCATCAAGCAGAAAAGTATAAAAATGAAGTATAAATAGTAAAGCCATATTAATATGTTGAGCTGTAAATGGCTCAAGTCAACAACTTCAGACATAGCCAGTCTTACAGAAAACCCACTACTATTATGGATTACTGGACTATATTGGAATATTTTCCTGAATTCACGCACCTATAATATTTAAATGACAATAGAATACTCTTCTCTGACAGAACTAACAAAAAAAAAGGATAGAAATGAACAACCATTTTGTATTTGTATATTCAAAATAGTTAGAATATATACACAGCTACATTCTTGTAATTCAATGAATAGAAAGATTTATTCTAATAGTGTTCGTGGACAGGATATCATGTCTGCATCTTGTACAATGAATAACCACTAAGACAACAATATGCAATGTATTAATTATTTAAACTGTCCTACTAATCGATTTTGAAACTGTCTCATTGGTATTTCCTTCTCAATAAAATTATTTTTAAAAATATCAAGAAGACTTTGAGAATTCTAATTATATGAATATAAGTTTCTTGATTTTGACACAATGAACTATTGTGACTGATCTGTAAATTTTTTCTTCATTTTTATTTTGGACAATTTTTATTGTTATATTCATTTATGTTTGTAAATAATTTATTTTCAATTTGCAATCTATTAAAAAATTAAAAATAAAAATAAATGAAGTTTTTTAAAAAGTTGTATACTGCTAAATCTAAAAAAAAAAGAAAAAATCAAGAAGAGCTTGGAGTGAGATATTTGAAGCCATGCAAGAAAACACCATACAGCACAGGTTGATGTACTCTGCAAAACTATCTATCAAACTTAATGGAAAGATAGGATACTTTCATGACAAAGAACAACTGAAGAAATTCATGACAGACAAATCAACCCAAAAAGAGTACAGAAAGAAATTTCACAAAGAAATAAAAATGACCACAACATCAAAAGCAACAGAAGAAAATCACCAAGTAGAGCAAGTAATTAAGCAAAGGGAAAAAGTAGGGATCCTACAGTAGGAAAATAACATATTAAGCCAATACATATCAGTTATAACTATCAATGTAAATTACTAAATTCACCAATCAAAAGAAGCAGCCTGGCAGTGGAGATCAAGACACAAAATTTAGGAATAGGCTTAATACAAGAAACACATTCAACTCAAAAAAAATTAATACACTGAACATCAAAGGATAGAAAACAATAGTCCATGTCAGACAAACCCAGAAAACAGTAGGAGCAGCTATTCTGGTTGTTGACAATGTCAACTTCAAACCAAGTGTGATTAAAAGATATAAAGATATAACCACAACATACTTGTTAAGGGAAAACAGTAAGAGGAAGAGATAAAAATGATAAATATATATGCACCAAATATAGGAGTCCACAACTATATATGTCAAATTTTAACAGACATGAAAAATCCAATGAGCAATAATGTAATTGTACTGGGAGAACTTAACATCCCATTACACAAAGAATAACCAGAAAAAAAATAAGCAAAAATATACCAGAACTAAAACAAACTTGTGAAAAAATGGACTTAGGAGATCTTTACACAGTGTTCCACACAACAGTATAAGAATATACATTTTTCTCAGGTGCACATAGTGTGTTATCCAAAATAGATCATGTGCTAGCCCATAGAACATACACAAATAAATGCAAAGGAATCAGGATTATCCTATGCATATTATCAGATCATTGTGCAATCAAACTGGAAATTGACAAAAGAAACATCAAAAACTCTATAAATACATGGAAATTAAATAATACCCTTTTGGACACTCAATGTGTCACATAAAAAATAAAAGAACTAAACAATATTTACAATCTAACAAAAATACAGATACAACTTCTCTGACCTATGGGATGGAATGAAAGCTGTTTTAAGAGGAAATTTATCTCAAGCTCTTACAATGAAATTGAAAAGGAAACAATCCTCCCAAAATCATTTCTGTAGGCAAGTAGTATACTGATACCAAAACGAGGAAAAAATGCAACTAAGAAAGACAACTACAGGCCAATCTCCCTCATAAACATAGATGCCAAAATCCTCAATAAAATCCTAACAAATAAAATACAGCAAATCATCAAGAAGATTATACACCATGACCAGGTAGGATTCATCCCAGAGATGCAAGAATGGTTCAATATTTGAAAATCTATAAATGTAATACACTATATCAATAGAGTGAAAACTAAAAACTGCATGATCATCTCAATTGATGCAGAAAAGGCTTTTGACAAAGTCAACACTCGTATATGTTCAAAGACCTACAGAAACTTGGAATAATTGGTCTCTACTTCAAACTGGTAAAAGTCACTTATGAAAACCCAATGGCTCACATAATTCTAAATGGGAAAAACTTCAAATCTTTTACTCTTAGATCTGGTACAAGACAAGGACGTCCTTTATCACCAATCCTATTTAATATAGTTCAGGAATCATTAGCTAGAGCCATTAGATAAGAGAAACAAATAAAAGGAATAAAAATAGGTAAAGAACTTAAATTAACATTATTTGCAGATGATATGATACTTTACTTGGAAGACCTGAAAAACACCACCAATAAGCTACTAGAATTAATACAGAAATTCAAAAACCCAGCAGGATACAAAGTCAACACTCAAAAGTAAATAGCATACATCTACACAGATAACAAACACACTGAGAGGGAAATTATAGAAACAATACCTGTTACAATAGCACCAAGGAAAATGAAATACCTTGGAATAAATCTAACTAAATAAATCAAAGATCATTTCAAGTACTTTTTAAATACTGTGAAAAAAGAGATTGTAGAGGATTTCAGAAAATGGAAAGATATTCCATGCTCCTGGATAGGAAGAACCAACATTGTGAAGATGGCCATAATCCCAAAAATTGCTGTACAGATTTAATGCAATCCCTATCAAACTACCCACAACATACCTCACAGAGCTAGAGAAATCATTCTTAAAAT